CACTCTAGTATGGAGATGTCAGTGCATAATCAAAAGGATAGCTGAACATATTTATGTTTTTTAGTGCATGTCTAGATATGGGTGAAGCTTTAACAAGTTATGATAGTTATGCAATTGTACTGGCAATAGCAATGGGAGATTTACAAGTGCTTGTAAATGCTGCTATTAATAGGACGGGCGCTTGTCTAGCAAAACTCTAATCCTTTTCTGCTCTGGGAGAAAATGACAGGGTGGAGAGTTCATCCTTATGATGGGACAAGACTATAATACCTGGAAAGACATTATTTGTCCTTTTTAAAGCTAAAGACTTCAAATATGCTTGCACATAGGGAATGGAGAAAAAATATGTTAAATTTTGAAATATTTTGGAATTTTGGTAGTAAAGATTTATGGGCATTTGCAGGTCGTAGGATACCTGTCTTAAGAGATTTGGAATGTATATTTTTAGATTTCAGCCTGTTAATTTTGATTATTGCGGAATAGAACAGATGCCTTGTTATACTGAACTTCTTGCTGTGGATCTGCAACAAGATAATTTTACTGTACTATTTTATTGCTTATTCTTGCTTTGTGAATAACTTTGCCTAGGAATATTGTTAAAAATTAAAGCCGGAATACCAACGATTTTGTTAATCTTTCCTTTATCAGGAAAAAGATTTGAGACTCTTTGTCCTCTTAAATATAACTGATGTATCTGATTTCAGTGAATGACAATGCTAATAGCATGAATCAGTCTTAAATCCAAGAATAGAAAATTTATTTACTGAATGAGGTGCCTGCTTTGCTTAGTTAGATTTTCAAAAGTGTTTTTTTTTTTTGTTTGTATTAACTATAACACAATCAACGAAGTCTTGCAGTCTTGACTGTATTCACACGCACACACTGCTAAGCTATTCTTTCTTTCCCGTGCCCAAAGTAAGTGAATGGAATAAATGAGAATTAGCGGAGCGGATCCCATCAGCAATGCTCCAGATATTGCAGGAAGCAGCAAAAGGGTGATTGCTTAAGGTAATTGACATGAATTGCTATAGACTTTATGGTTACAGTATATAAAGTCAGTGGAAGGGGGAGAAAAAGAAATAACATAGTATTTTTGAGACTGTATAACATGTAAATGATGGGAAAAACTTTTTGCAGAAGGAGTGAAATAAGTCTGGTATTGTTTTGTGTCTGTGTGGCGTATAAGGTGGTTGCATTTGTTTTCAGTAGCTTTTGTGGCTTGCTGTACCAATAAAAATCTGGAGTATATGGACATATAATCATTGACTGGCATCCTTATATTTTTGGAAGCTGCTAATATGCATAGTTAAGCAAATAAAGCTTCACATCTCTTTCTGTGGCTATGCACTAGCATGGAGTAATTTTATTACACTGATAGCAGATTTTTTAGTAAAGTTGTGTCTAAAGAGGAAGACCTTGTATATGTTGTTTATTTGCTAATTTTTCTACTGGAGTATTTTTAGTATAAATAGACACAGATATTGATTGGGAGCATATTTTTTGGTTGCTTTCAGTTTTATAAAGTGGAAAAATTTTTGTCTCTTTATAGCAGAGATATTCGTTCTGTGGAATTTTTATGCTTTCGATTCTTACAAAAGACTATTGGATTTCTTTATCTGCTTTGGGGTTCAGGGACTGATTATAGACTGCTTTGCATCATTTAAAACGTTCTTATTTATGAGCAAGGGAGTTAGCAGGAATCACGTGATTCATGGTGAAAAAATTATCTGCAGGTTGTTGCTCCTGTTGTCCTCATAGTCCAGAATGAATTACTGCTGATGTAAGTAATAGTTCTATGCATGATCAATGGTTAGAGCGTGGTAGGCAAACTGTAACTGAAGTGTTTTTTGTTGGTTTATTTTTGTGTGTGTGGATAAAGGCCTTGTCTTGTCCAAAGAGAGAGTTTATCGTGTTCTCTTATGAATTTTTACAAAAAGAATACTGTGAAATGAATAGTTCACTGTGATTTCTAATGAGCAACAGTAATGTTCTTTCTAAAGATATATTGCTTAAGTAAAAAACAAACAAACAAAAAGACTTCATTCAGCTTAAATGTGGAGGAGTGTTTGAGTGTATGTGTCTATACCATCCTGTAATGATTCAGACTGGCCCAGGAGAAATTATATCTAGTTGTAGGTGTTTTGAAATTTGAGGAAGAAATGAAACTGGGAAAAAGATAGGCCTTCACACAAATCCTTTTCATTAAAAGCAGGAAGCATTTTAAAGGATATTTTGGTGCCATTTATACTTTTATTTGTGCAAGCACAACCCATCCCAGGGTGTGCAAACAGCTCACGGGAATCTTACCGAAACTTCAGGAGCATTAATAGAAATAATGCCTAGAAATGAAGAAAATGTGATGTAGGTGCCTTGCTGGATTGGGTGATGACCTTTCCCTGACTCGCAACGCTGGACGGCATAACCTACTTGGCAGTCACTGAAGTGTGTGAATATTGGCCAACTGTCACTGAGCAGATGCAAGTTGGGAAAAGGGAATAACTTATTGTGGATGAAGGTGAGGGGTTTACAGTTATTTAGATTACAACTTCTCAGCCAGTTTTGTCTGCAGTTAATATTTCAAAATTGCCAACCTAATAGATAGTATTTTATTAGAGATATGTAAGTTTATCTGAACTAAGACATATATTTCTAATTGAGATAAAATGTCTATAAGCGAATGTAGTAAGTGATAGTGATGACATTTCCTCTTTATCAATTGTATAGTTTTTCAAAGTGCCAGAAGCTTTGTCAGTGTGCAAGACTGAATGATTATTCTGCGTCCCCCCCCCCATATTTTGTTCCTCTTTTCTGTATTGAGCCAGGTATCTCTTGTAGGTTATCCGAGTAATAAGAACTTAAAATCTGGAAAACTGACTTGACTAGATTATGTTGAAAAATGGGATCATGTAAACCTGAAGGGTAGGGTGATAAAACTCCGGAACAGATATAATTATAGTGGATAAATCACGGTTTAAGAATGTTGGCTAGAAAAATGAGTTGTACAGTGATTGCAAGGATTATGTTCTGCAGTGCATATTCACTGACTTGGCGTTCCATTGAGGATAAAGTTTTATTTCATTTAAGAAGCTCTATGCCCCCTTCTTTCCTTCCAAAGAAAAGGAACTACAATATGATACAAACAAACGTATGCTCGAGTATTGAACCATAGCTCTGTAAAAACAACACGTATTTTTTTGATTTGGAATATTTTCTGTTAGCATTTTCCTTATTTCAGAAAGTGTTACTACTTTACTTTTAGTGTGACTGCTCTTCACAAAATCTTTTCATCCTTGGAATGTGAGAGCATATTAATTAGATTTTGATTGTGTTTCTTAGACTAAGGAGTGGGAGAAGGAGGAAGATTTCATTAAGATCTGTGAGATTGGAGGAGGAACAGATTGATTCTGATAAGCCGATTGGGTTAGTAACTATTTTGGAAAGAAGAGGTCATGGACTTGAGGAGGGGACTAGCACAGCATCTAAGTAGTTTAGAAGGAGTTTCAAGTGGGTTGAAATGTGAAAGAGAACTGGCAAGGTGAACAGAGTTTATTAGCCTGCGTGAGAGATGAAGGCCAATATGCAAGGTACCAGAATAAATTTCTGCAACGTATGGTGCAAATATGCTGTTATTCTATTCAAGAGAAGTTGAGATCTGAAAGGGGGGAGGGGGGCTATCTCTGCAGTCTGTAAACAATCAAAGTAAAATATGCCGTGCTCAGAAGCTTTCCTTTTTCCCCGGCACTTCGTTGCTAGTCTCAGGAACGCTACTAGAAAGATATCTTCCCTTTTCAAACAACTGTGCGGTCTCAACCTTTTTTATCCTTCTTCCATAGTAGTTTTGTTTTCTTAAATTATTTTTCTCTCTTGATTTCTCCTCCTTTCTTCCCTGTGAATTGCGCTCCCTATGGCAGCTGTCTTGTTATGGATGGAATGAAATAGTGTTGTCTGAAGTCTCTGAGATTTTTCAGCTGATTCTTCAGAGAGGCTAGCAAAGGTGCAATAGTCCCTTTCCGCAGGGAAGACCCAGGAAGGAAACATTCCAAAAAATATTTTTTGGAATACTCACATGTAGGAAGGATCCATATTTTGTGAACTCTGCAAATACCCGTATTTTGGGGCCATAAAAATGGATGTGATGAGACCAATGTGTGGACACTGCTGCAGAGACTGTCCGAAGGTAGACAGGAGAGTGGCCACGCAGAACAGACCCCTTGCACGACTGGTGCTGAAATATACACTATGAGCTCTTCCTAAAGACTAAGTGTGTGGCAGTCTTTTAAGGGAAAAAATAATGTGTCAGCAACCACATGTATCCATCCGCATCTATGACAAAGTTTATAGTTTTTATTAAGAAAAAGTTAAACTGAAAATATTCAGGTTACTTGCTGCTGAAATTCTAACTATTGCTATTTTCCCTCATCTCTGCGGTAAGAATATAGGTAAAGTCTAAACTAATGTCCTGCCTCTGTTGGCAAGATATTGGAAATACTACTTTGTCATGGTGTCAAATTTGTGAAAATCAGCCTTTTGGAGAAGATCAGCTTTTCAGGTACTACTTCATGGACTGTTTTCACAAAAAGGAGACTTACAATAGAAAGTAAATTAAAGTAATTGAGATTAGAGTAATGCAGAGCTCAATGTTTAATCAGTGATTAACAACATTTGAATTTGCAAACAGTACTCATAACAATGCAGATGTAATTGCGTTCAAATTTAATGTCTGGTTATTGTGCTAACCAAATTTTTTACACTTGTTCCAATGTTACACACCTCAGACATTAGATGATAATTTCTTCTTGATTTTTTAATTAGTGTCTGAAAGTTGAATGTTCTTCTGCTTTGTACAATTAGATCTGGTAGTTTAATATTTCAAAGTGGGAGCCAGCTTGTTTCCTTGAAACACTAACGATTTCTATTTTATGGTAATACCTATGTAGACCTAGGTGTGTGTGCTACACCAGAATCTGAATGTCCTCTTTTTTTTTTTTTTTTCAGAAGAGGTGTGGTGCACCGTGCTGAAGTGATCGCTTTCCTGTGTTCTTAATGTGATCTTGGCAAACTGTACTTTTTCACTATGAGAAGTGAATTGGCTTATATAACTCAGTTGCAGCAGAAAATGCAACTTATGGTAAGTGGGAGCAAAGCTTTTTGGAGCTTTGTAGAATACAAATTCAACAATTCACATTGTTTAATTATAGACCTTATCTAAAAATTAACAAATAACATTTTCAGTCACTCTGATCGCTGAGTTTTTTTTCGGTATGAAAATATATATCAATGTATCTCACCAGCTATTGATGCTATAAAAAGTAACTGAAGTTTGCGTATTAGTGTGGGGATCACTGCTTCCATTTTGTGCTATACTCTGTAAACAACATATCTGAAATGGTTTGAATTAGAATTAGTTAATTTGATGTTCATGCTGACTCTGCATCAATACTTGATTTTTTTTTTGTCAATTTTTTTGCAGATTTTTCTTCCTTGTTGGATTTTTCCAATTCTGTTGAATATGTAATTACAACTATGGCAACAAAAGTAGAAATAAGTTCTACTTTGGCGTCTTTGACGACAGTACCTGACTTAAATGAACTCACAAAGGAGGATAAATCACAACGTGTGTACGTAAGTGTGCTTTCAGATGCAAGTAAGAAGACAAATGAACCCTCAGCATCACTAACTCTTGAAGAGAAGAGCAAATTTGCAAGTACTTTGAGATCTGCAACAATGCCCACGCTAGGATCAAGGCCAAGGCTTTTCCCAAAGCCTTTTTCTAAAGAGAAATCTTCGGATACTTTTGCAAATGTAAAAACACCTGTTATGGCTTTCAGATCAAGTAATCTTATTAGAAAGGCCACTGAAGAAACATCACCTGTTAAGGTATTAAGTGGAAATGTTCCCTCATTAGTAGACCAAAAGGTAATTGAAAGTGAAAATAAGGCTAACAGTGAAGTAGTCACAAATATGTCTTTCTACACTGGTCCCAGTGCTAATACCGTCATCCTTTTTGAGACAGCTGGCACAGAACAGTCAAAGGTCGGGCTGGCAGAAGGAAAAAGAGCTGCTGATGACCACAGAGTATTTAGTACTATGCAAACAAAAGAACTTCAGTGTAATGCAAAGCCTGAGAAACCATCTCAGCCATCTGAGATATCCAGGAAAGCTGAAGGATCTATTCATAGGCAAATATCACTTTCCTCCAGTGCTAGGCCAGTCTCTTGGAACTCCCTCAAAACTCGTGAAAAGAAAGATGGTTATGAAGATCTTACTGGGGAGAAAACCAATGATGATACAAATGATATCAACAGTAAAGCTGGTTTCTCTGATGTGCAGCAAAGGCCAAAACATAGACCAGTATCTGCTGTTTTTCTAGAATCATTAAGAGATCAAAAGCATCGCCCAATAGAACCTTCGGAGGAAAAATCTCCTACAGAGAAATCCTGGGTTAGAAAACCAAGGCCTTTGTCCATGGACCTGACAGCTAAGTTTGAATATAAAGATCTTTCTTCCTGCAAAAAGACTTGCTCATCTCATGAGAGCAAGGAGAACATATCTTTAACTTATTTTACTGACATGAGCTGTCATGAGCAGTCTGAAATGGGGCCAAGAAGTGAAGAAATGGAATTTAATAAAGACAGTTCTTCTAAAACAAACTTGAAGCGCAGTAGTCAGGACATTGGCGTCCTGAATGATGGGAAGTACGTTTGGGAAACACAGCATAAATCTAAAAGTGAACAAATTGAGGCAAAACCAGAAATAGTGACTAACTTGCGTGGTTCTGAAAGAAGCTGTGAAACTAGTAGTGTCAGCAAAACTGATAAGGAGGCAAAAAGATTGGATCAAAAGGAAACTTGTATGTTTCTAGCCCGTGAAAGTCCTGCAGTTTCCTCAGAAAAAGACAACAGTATCAAAAGGGGTAGTGTTAAAAAACATGTTAGTTTGTTTGCTTCAGAAAATCCTAGTACTCCGATGGATACAGAGCCTCTCTCATCAACTGCTGAGAGGGAAAACAGATACATGAACGTCCAACAGAGAATCAAAGAACTGACAACAGAAAATGCAGATGCTAAGCCAGGAAATCTGCGCAGGTCACTTCAATCACGACCACTTTCTGCAGACTTAACAAAGATGTAAGTTTCAGAGAAGTTTTATTTAATCTTCTTAAAACTTCATCTCATTCGCTTGCTCGTTCAGTAGGATACCTGCATGCCTTGGTTCCATTCTGTGTAATTATTCTTTATACTATTATTTTTGATCCATTTAGGGGTTAAGCCCTCTTTCCAATCTTATCTTTCACTCCCCCCCTCCCCAAAAATGAAATATACCTTAACAACAGCTGCAGAAAATATGCTGTCAGTAATGTGGCCTTTGCATGTTACTGTAACTGTATAGCTATTATTAAAGTTTCATGTATTTTGAAATCTCGCGGTGAAGTGTTGTAGACAGCACACTTGCATGTTTGTAGAAAGCAAAAAATAAGCAGAGATTCCTTATTTTACTGTGCTGCTTTGAATGTCCATCCTGTCATCCTCACAAAAGTCTCTTTCTTCAGGATACTTCTGAATTATATTTTACTTGGCACAGTAGGGGCAGTAAACGTTTACCATGTCTTTGACAGTGGTATAGAATATCAGGTTTTCAGCCAGACGGGAATCTTATTTCACTTTCATATCAAGGCTGAAAGATCCGTGATGTGTATTCTTCCCAAGCTGTGGCAAGGGAGCAGGGAAGCATCATTTTTTTGCTAGAACAAGGCTTAAAAATTCAACAATTGCTTTTAACAGTGAGTAGGCAAGTACTGTACTGTGTCCTCGTATATAGTACTAATTGATATAATAAAGACAACTGGCACGGGAAGAGTCGGGAGGGTTATAGTGGCATATAATCCTGTTTTGGGACAGACTTTAACTGAAGTGGAACTGTCCTAGTATACCTTTCTTATAAACTAGTGAGTCTTTCTGCTTTATGCAGATGCACTTCTTTCTCTTTTGGGTTCAGGAGTTGTTGAGTTTCAAAACTTGCTCTGCCAGGTGTGGAAAGCTCTCTGTTTCCAGTGGTGTAAATCAAAATCTTGCAGCCTCTGTTTCTGAAGGTCCTTTGCAATGTTTTTGAGCAGTCTTGTTAGAGCAATATGAGACCTGCTGATCATTAGATATATTTAAAAAAAAAAAAAGTTTTCCAATGAAAAGATATTTGGTCCAATATAGAATCTATTCTCTCAGTATAAAGTTGGATAATTGATTATTCAAAATCATTAAGATTTATGTTTGTGACATGCAAAGAAACTGGAGACGGTATTGCAAAGTGTGTTAAGCACAATCTGTGGCCACATGGCAGGTCGTCATGCTAACCTGGATACCTCACGTTCTGTACGAGATGAAAAAGGGCTAAGGACAGAGGAATAACGTCTTTTGATGGAAGTGTATTTCACATAATGAATACAGCAGACATTGGGATGAAAGGATCTACTGTATGAATAGTAGAGTAATATAATTCTTCAGCAAACCTTGGTCCTTCGACATTGTGATGGGAATAAACGGAAGCAATACAACTGAGACATGAGAATATCAATAGCTTTTATTATTTAGCCACATTATGGTTCTCTAAAGTTTTACATTATGCAATAAGTTACATAACTAACAATTTTTTTTATGAAACAACAATCCTTTGGTCTTGATACAATAAAACCACTCAATACACTTAATTGTAATATGAAAGAGTGCTGTTTCTCCTTTTAAGAAATATAATTGATTGGATATTTTTTAATGATATGAGATAATATATCATCAGCCTGCTTTGGGAGGAAGCATGTTTGTCAGCTAACTGGAGTTAAAAGAAGTAATAGAAGTTTTTGTCTTAGGTTTTCAAGTCCAGCATCAACCAGTGAAGTCAAGCCTGAGAAACCTGTTGAAATAAGAAATGACTCTACCAATGAAATGCAAGAAAATCAAAAAGTAAGAAAATGGCATCAGTCGATGTAATCTTCAAATAGGTTTTCATGTAGAGTGTATATAGCACTATACTCTGTCCTATGTGTCTTTATCAATCAGTGACTTTAAAATGGGCATTGAGAGTATTAAAAATGACATAATCCTAATAGGCTTACTTGGATAATTCTATCTTTAGAATACACTGGTGAAGTATGGGAGTATCGTGTCTGTGTTGAGTCCTGAAAAAGTTGTATTTGCACGCTCTTAAATGCGTGCAGCAGTATAGACTGAAAAAAAACGTTATATATGCTATTTTAATGGAAATTCTAATGGATAAAACCTGGAGTGAATAGGCTATGGCTGTTGTGGTTCTGCACAGTGATTGTCCTTAATTCTCTCTAAGCACAGAATTAGTAGTGTAGTGATTTCCACATCCAAGTCACAGCTCTGAATTAAATGTATGCTGTATGTTTCATGTCACTCTCTGAAGACAAGTAACATTTAACTTTGAAGTTTTGGAAATATAGAAATATACAGAAAGTTATAATCTGTTTTTGAAAAAGCTGATATGCTGTCTTTGATTCTAAGTAAAACTCTGGTGTTCCAAAATGTAACCTTTCTGTTGACGCTTCTTAGTATCGTTAAACAGGAATTTTATGTAGTTTTAAGGGTATTCCTTGAGAGTCCTCATGGCTGTGCTTTTTTTTCTGTCTAGGTTTGAGATAAGAATATGTGGTAAGGAAGCTAACAGTCTGATCCAAAGCTCTAGTAGGTTAATTTAATTTTAAAGAAGACTTACTTGTTTTAAAAAGAAAATCTTCAATTAATGCAAGTGCTGTTTTCGGAATCTATCAATAAAGTAGGATTAAAAGCATTCCAATGCTCTGCCTAGAAAAACGTAGATTCTCCATACATGTTTCTAGTATTAAAAAGTAAAAATCAGCTTATGAGTCACTCTGTTATAACCAAAATTTAGACTGGAGTTATACATCTGCTGCTGAGTTATACATCTGCTGCCTTTGTCTTGATGGATTTTTGTGATTAGAGAACAAGGATATGTTTAACTTGTGCATGTTGTATTGCACAGAGTAGGTGGTATATGGTTTATTTAAAAGATGTATAACAATACTGTATTAACTGTTGGATTTTCCTGTTCCAGAGTAAGGAGACCAAGCTTCCACATGGCACAGATTTCACTGAAGCATATGCTATTGGGAATCCTTGGAAACCCCGCCAGATTTTAAAACTAACAAATAAGGCTAATCAGACAGAGACAAAAGGAAACTTACTTGGAGATAGTCACCATTTTTCTCTGCAAAGTGAAAATTCTGTCTCGTTCACGAGCAGCTTTGAAAAAAAATTAAAACCAACCACACTAATGGAAAAGACCTATGTTAAAACTGTCCGAGCTACCATGTTTGATCATAATATTCAGAGACATAATGTTGCTGCTAGTCATCCTGGAATTGATTCTGCACAGATGAATAATGGCCTTGAAGGAAAGCATGATGTGGTGACTTTGGGGCATAACAGAGGATCACAGGTGGGAGAAGTGGAGGAGACAACTAGTTTAAAGCAGTATCACAATCAATCTCATTCATCAAAGCAGATAACAGATGCAGAAAAAACTGGAAAACCAGCTTGTTCAAATGAAGGCAAGAAAATGACTCGGGCAATTCTATTAGAAAAATCTGCTGTTGCGAAAAGTGAAAAACACACTCCTAAAAATGCAGAAGACTCTCTAACTTACCAAAGAATAGAGCCAAGATATGAAGTCTTTCAGACATTTGGTGAGAGAGCTCTTAGTGAAGCCATTACAATGGCACCTGAAAAAAAAGCTGTGACACTCAGAACTCGAAAATCGTCTGTGAAAGAGCAGAAAAATGACGGGGATGTTTTACACAGTGATCAGCCAGCCAGACTAAGTAATAAAATTGACTACTTGAAAGAAGGTGGTATTATTTCAGAAACTAAAGACACAAAAGCTTTTCCAAACAGGTTTACTTTTAAAGAACCTAATGATTTTTTCCCTGATGGATGTAGTTTAGCTGAACAGAAAAAAGACTCTAGTAAAACTGAACCTGATCTGATATTAATAGCAGAGAAAATACATTATTCTACAGACAAAAGTAAATGCTTGGAAAAAAATGAACAAATAAATAAACCACATTTTGAAGTTAAAAATGAAGAGAGTGAAGTCTCTTCCGTAGATAGAACAGAGAGGTCTAATGTGACTAAATATTTTTCTGAGAAAAGCAGCATAAAACCAGGCAGAACAGATAACCGTGACCTGAGAACCAGTTCTGGTCATGAAGTTATCTTAACCAGTGTAAATAAACACGGGGCCCAGTCTTCATCAGTGCTTTCAAGTGGACAAGTATGTAAATCTTCCAGTAGCCACCATCCCGATATGGAAGTACTAACCATTAGTAAAGAGGAATCTAGAGCCTTTGATTTAAGGAAATGTCTAGACTCAAAGAGTGTAGAAGAAAGCTTTAGCTTAGATAGTACAGCACATGAAAACAGAGATAAATTCAGAGTAATAGGACCAGAGGAAAAGGTCAGGAGAACCAGAAGTAGCAATGCAGACTTGAAAATTTCAGAAAGATGGAGAAGGAAGACCTTGCCTCAGGATTCTATCAAGACAGAAGTTGGTTTGCTCACTCCTGAGAGCATCAAAAGTCTGAACAGGACAGAATCATTACAATTGGAAGAAGGCTCAGTTAAAAAGAGAGGTAAAAAAAGCAAAGAAGGAACGGTAGGAAATGAGGCAAATCAAACTGTTCTTGGCAGTCCTGACAGTTCCTTGAAAAATCAGAGTGCTGCTTTTGAACCAAAAGCAACTTATTTTGCGGTTACTTACCAGGTTTCTGCAGACAAAAAAGAAAAGAGCTTTGATATTCTTAGCGCAAGTGAAACTAGTAAAATTCCTCCCTCAAGGGAGGTGGTAACAACTGATCTGGACCCAGTTTTTTCCAAAAGGTCCAAGCCTGTGTTACAGCAACCAAATAAAAATATAGCACATACAAATTGTAGAGAAGACTCACGAGATGTATATATTAACAAGGATTGGGACAAAGAGGAAGAAAAAAATGAAATTAACTTTTCCAAAAACATTGCATTCACTAATTTTCGTGTATCTGGGAAAGATAACCAAAAGCATCATGAAAGGAGTCTGGATCATTCTAAAGAGAACGTTATAAATGTTGATGCTTTGCTGTTAAAACAGGACCTGGAAAATAAAGCTCAAACTGATCTCAAAAGTAGCGGACGAAAAGTCTCTTCTTACCGTGAACACAGATCCCCCTTACATTTTGAACAATTACATAAAAACAATGAACTAGTAACCCAGAAGAGTAGTGAAAATAATTATGATTTATCTGGAGGGAAGGCTGAAGACGGTTATAGATTGCGAATTCTTGATATTGATGCACTTATGGCAGAATATAAAGAAGAATCATTGATTCAGGACAAGCTTCCTGAAGACCGCAGTTTGTTTAATAGGGAGTTACCAAAGAACAGAAGAAATATGTCAGATTGGGCTTCTCCCTCCTATAGCTGGAAAGAGAGGAAGGGATCAGATCACTGTTCTCTTAAAAACAAACAAGGTGACTGGGCAGAAGAGTACAACAGGCCAGAGAAATTAATCTTAAATGAAAAGAACAGTGAGAAACTGGAATCCTGTGGCCCTGAATTTGATAAGCAGAAGTCCAAAGACAGAAAGTTCAGCCCTCCTTACTGGGGAAATCCTAGCAGCTTGTTTTCAGATAAGTTTATAAATTCACCTGTGGAGTTCACCAGAAAAAAAACATTCATCATTGATGAAGATCAAGAAATGAACTTAACTTCCAGGCAACAAAGTTCAAAATTTGCAAGTGACAAGGTGCAGCCTACGAAAGCAGTTGGTACAGACCAAAAGTTGAAAATTAATTTGGCTTCTAAGTTGTCTGTAAAGCCTGATGTTGGCCAGTTACAGAAGAAATTGGTCACAAAAGAACAGTTCTTGCAGGTGGCTCCAGAAGGTGACTGCAGCAAAGATGTAACAAGGAGCTTTGTAACTAAGAACAAAGACGATGCAAATAAGACATCATGTGACAATGACTTTTCCAATGTGAAGAATAAGACTGACTGGAAGAACTACACGTCTACTTCAGGAAATGCACCGCCAGATTTAAGACGATCCTATTCGGAAAAAAGCAGCCAAGGAAAAGACAACATACCACTTATGAAAGAAGCCAGGGGAAGAAAGGATCTGTATCGATTCAGACAGAGCTTCCCACTGGAAAGTACGGAAAGTGAGTGGAAAAAAAAGACGTCATCTCAATTGGAAACTTCCTTCCATGAAGATAAAAAGGTATTACAAAACGGTATCTAAATGCTTCCTGTAACTAAAATTGAAAGTAAAGAAAGACTTTAATTACACTTCTGTCCCACTCTTCGGTGTTAGGTCTGACTTTGTTGCCATTAAGCATATGTGGAGAGGCGTATCTGTTAACTATGGAGGACAACTTTTTCTTTTTAATAGAGTTTATTTCCTTTCAGGCTGTGTTTGCTTGAGGAATTTCTGTTGTAATAGATGACTAGACCTTTTTGTTTTAAGCAGATAAATATGTATTGACATTGCCACAGATAGCACAAAAAGAGCTTTAAAGATGCGTACATATGTATTACTAATGCTATGAACACTAATATGGTAAAATCTTAAGTTTACAGCTTCATAATTGTTTGAAAAAACTTTTTTGGGTTTATTTTGCAAGCAGTAAGCAGTGATCTTTTGGGTATTCTTTTTGTTTTTTCTGAAGCAAGCAATGTTTTCATTAGGTGAATGGTCCTCCTTTGTACCTGCAACTTTATTGCTGAAATGCAAGTGATGCTCCTGATGCAATGACACATCAGTGCATTCGACATAATCATTTGGATGTTGATGGGTATAATGCTTTTCTCTGTTTTGCAGTTTAAACTTCCTCTCTTTTCATTCAGAAGGGCGTGTCTGTGTGTGTGTATGTATGTATCTGTATAATATAGATGTACATAACTTTTTTTGAACAGGCCTCTGGAAAAGAGTGGACCAAGCAGAGTTCAGAAAAAGCAGACGGAACAGACTTTACGTTGGTTTCTATTCAGAGAAGAAGCCATAGTTTTTATAAAGACAGAAGGGCTGATAACTGGACGGTATGTTATCTTGGAAGAGGTTCTCGGGTAGGGGGGAGTTAAGGGAGATGCAGTTTCGCTTATTCCATTTGGAGGAGTTGTGACAAAGTATGTGACTTCCTAGCAGAAGGAGCAGGTGGACCTCCTGTGAGGTCTTAACTAACCTAGAACTCCTTTTCCCTGGGATTGCACCACTCTGATTACGCCACATCTTCCAACATAGCTGAACAAGTTGCATGATTAATTCCTTTTCTTCCTAAACAAAGAGTTTTCATCTTGAACTCTTAACACATGGGGTTAAGTCATTGTGTTTTAGCTTTTGCTTGTCTCAGTTTAAATAATGAAAATTGGTTAAAGCAATTTTTTTCTGGAGAATTGTGCAGGCAGATAGAACCATGTCATAGTCTGAAAAATGACGGCTTTAGTTTTCTTTGGGCAGCGCACAAACTGCTAGTTATGTGAAGAATCATAGCTGACTCTCTTTCGGTAGTCTGGCTTGTCTCTGTAATTGTTTACTTTTGGGGTAAATTCCCATTAAAAGTTGGTGGGTGATATTCTCCTAAGCAGCAGCAGGACTTCCTGTCTTAGCCCACAGGTATATTTTATATTAGGAAATGGTTAACATTCTACGCCCTGATGTTATTTTGAAATATAAAGTAAAGATTTGGGTCTTCCAAAAGTTAACACAGTAACTGAAACAACATTATTTTCTGTGGAAAATACAGGTTTTGTAAAATGTATCAGCAATGCAGAACTCTATCGTTTTAAGAGAAACACTGCTGCTGCCGATGAGATCCTGCCTTACTGGAAGTTGTTCTGAGCCACTGCAAGTGCTGTGCCTTTTTTAATGTTGTTGTGTGTAGAAACAGCGTTTGAGATACTAAAATAATACTGTAGTCACTCCAGAGCGCACTTGGCTTCTCTTTCATAATTCCAAATTATGCATACCTGTAGTTTTTGAAAATCTGTATTTCCTATGGTTTTTTTCAAAATTTCCCCACTTGTGTGCATAAGGGGTAAACTGAAAGATGTCACTGTACTTGTGTCTCAAGTTCAAATCTCATTGGTCCTCTTGGTCTGCTCGCGCACTCATGTGGTGACTGAATGTATTGCCTCTTCAGAGATCCTATGTCTGTGTAATTATTGGCAGTGCTGTTTACTGCCCTTTAATAGAAAGTAGTCAAAATGACAATTCACCCCCCCCCAATCAGTATCTTTCATTCTTTATCTTCTAGTGAAGAAAGAAAAAACTAAATGACTTATGATAGTCTATAAGGATTTCGTAAACAAGTCTCCTAATAGGAATTTTGGGAGCAGGCTCATGCTGTTATAATTTAATCTTAAAACAGGAGGTGAAGGCTTCTGATATCCTTACCTGTCCAGTCTTTCACGTTCTTAGAATGGACTTCAGATTGAACCTTCATCTGCGTGGGAATCTGGAGTATTTAAGGATCGAATAATAACTGTCATTTCTGTAAAATTTACTATATTCCCTATATATTCAAGGATATACACGGTCCAAGATACCTGTTGTCAGGGTAGAAGATGAGGGGCAAAATGTGCTGTGAGCATCAGAAATAGTGTTGGCACAATAGAACTTCTTATGTAGTGCACTCGGATAAATATGACTGTTATTTTCCGACTTGGAACTTAACTATGAAGTTACTTGGAAAAAATCTTTTATTTCATTGTATAGCTTGAAATAGGGAAGGAAGACTGCGTTTTGCGGGTTGGGGGGGGACTTAAGTGTCCGGCTTCCACTGAAATTCAGTAGGATCTGAGTGCTTTACTCCTTTGTATTGGTTTGAACAGCCAAACTGTGGCGTATTTTTGTTCTCCAGTGCCATGGTAGCAAAAAAGGTAGCCTGTCCTTTGCACATATAAACTGTGAATGAGCAGGTGTGGAGACATGTTTTTTATATGCATTCATGAGATGGAAAACTTGGTGTACTTCCATGTTTTCAAAAACATGGGAAAAAAAAACCCCTCATGAATTATTTCACAATCAGTCTCCATTTCTTGAAGTGAAGACTTAAAGTTTTTCTGGAAGATGTGCTCTCATGAAAGAGAAATTACTGGGTTTATTGGGAATAAGCAGGCTCTGTGATTACACAGGCTGTCACATAGATTATATAAAACTGAAGCATTTCTTCTGGCGCTAAGGTTAATATCTTTGCGTGCCTTTGAAGAAAATACAAAGACTTTTGCCATGTAGTCGCTGTTCTTATCAGTATGTTTCAATACCTCCCTCTGGTGGCGAAGATACGTTGTCATTGTGTGTGAATTGAGTGAATACTGGAGGTCAAGATTTATCTGCAGGAGGATCAAATCTAACAGATTTTTTTTCTCTTTTGAATTTGAATGGAATTTATATTCTACTTGAAACATCTTTCACTTTAGGGATGGAAGGAAACAAAACTGCCACTGTTTTATTCGAACAGTTTCTAGTCTACCTGTTCAGTTGTGAAGCAATCTGCTTTTTCTTGTAGCATAGTGACTAAAATGTGCTACAGTACATGTCACTAGTTACTGCAGTCTTCTCAGGATACCTTTATCTTTCTAATGAGACTGTAGTGCTCAAATAAAATGACAAATGAGCTTGTTACTGTAGAGTAAGAGGGAGCACATCCAGTGTAATTGTCCAGTGTTCTTTGATCTTTGAAAAAAACAATTTAAACTAATATGCATTTGTTGTATTTATTGCATTACTATTTCATGTCTGTCTATGATACAGACAACTAGTACGCAAGTGAAGTTTTCTGTGACAGTTAATGAACTAGATTCTTATGGATGCACACAGCTAGAATAGTGTGTGATAGTATAATTTTACTTCTGGATAAGTGATTTTTTTGTGTTCTAGGGGTTCTACTTTCCAATGATCTTTCTTATTAAAACGTTATATAAGACCTATTTTAATTCAGATAGTTACAATATAAAATTAATATGGGACTGGTGAGTGAAATTGTGAAGAATGATACTCTTGAGAGTAAATACTCATCTAGACTGTGTTTTCTGGCTCTTCAGAGTTTGTATTGATTTAAAAGCAGAATTAGGCTGTTATAAAAATTCCACCGTCATGGTTAGACTGTTGTCATCTGTGACATTACTATGAATGATGCTTTTCTCTGCATGCCTTTGCAAAGAAAATCCTAAGATTTGTAAATATTGCAAGGCTGGTAAAGCATCATTGATTTCAAAGAGGTGGTGTTCCTAATGGAAAGAAAAGGTATTTTGTACTTACAGCAGCATCTTCAAGACTTCAGTCTCTTCAAAGACTGTGGTGAATTATTGGACAGTGAGCATATCTTATTATCCATGGTTTATATGCCATAATTTGAAGAAGTGGGCTACAGCATCTCAGTGTGCTTTGACAAGTTACATGCTCTACAGCCTGAAATATTTTTCTCCCCCATGAATAACGGAAATCTGTTAATTTGGAACAATTAAACTTTGCTCCCTATTAAACCCTTATAGGAGGTTTGCATTTAATATCATGGTCTTTGAGACTGCAGAGATGTAATGTTTTCAAATTTCCTTAGTTCACAGGTTTTGAGACTGACATTTATTTGAGGCTATGTTGCTCTGAGCTTAGTACCATTACAGGTCTCATGACTGAAAAGCATATTATCTGCAAAACTATTCCTCTTGCTTCAGAGTTAGATGCTTTAGCATTCTCTTGAGCTACCTTTTGTTGAGATGTTCAGCAGCTGCCCCCTCCCATAGGAATGAGTCAGATGTGCTTCTGCTCCCCAGAATGCATGAGTGACGAGGCTATAGATGCACAGCAAAGCAAATTCTTCTGGTTTAGAATTTCCGTGCAGAATGTTTTCTTCCTGGTTCATGGAGGTCAGAATAAATTTATGCTCATAAACTTCACCATTTTTAATGTATTAACAAGTGACTATGTTATAAATATTACTGCTAACTGTAGCTTAGTACTTAAACTTCTTTGTATTCCAGCATAAGATTTTTTTTCCCCCTTTCTCCCTTTTAATAGATCTTAATTTGGGTAAAGAATGAAATAGCTTAAGATATCAAGACAGTCACCTAACAGGGAATTAAGGAAAAGAATGTAACTATAGGAATAAATTATTTGCTATTTGAATCTCTAGATTTAACAGTATCAACAAGAAAACACCTTTCCCTGCCCCTGTGAAAATATTACTCCTTCATGAAACCAAATACTCCTGTTCATACCTTGTGCTTCGACCCTGCCTACATCACAGTATAGGTCTAAAAATACAGTTGGAATACAGTTGGTCTCCTTCTCCTGTTTAGTCTTGACAACTGGGACTTTAGCTCATAGAATTGGCTGCAAATTTTTCAGAATCTCTTCTAGCAGCCACTTTCAGACAGCTTGTCCATATGGTTTACAGTCAAGGCCTAGACTCCCATAAGGTTCTTTTCCTTTAGGCTTTGAGTGTAATTTCAGGGACTGCAAGTCTCTGACTATTGTGACTATCTGTAAAATAAAGATGCTTTCTGTTTTTGTAGACTCTTGTAAGAGCAAGGGCACATTAAATACTTCGGACTCCTCTAAAAGCTAGTGTAACTGCAAAGTGCTATGGTAAGCCACTTGAATTTCACAAGACTTTTTCAAATATTGTCTTTCATAACTCATAATGATCCCACTACAGCTGACATAAGTCTGTAATTCTGTGACATTACATCACAAACCTCAATTTCTGATTAGTCATCAAGAATGATATGAGTCTTATGAATTAAAAAATTGATGAATTTGTGCTGTGGCTCATCCCCAAAACAGAAGCAGTTGCTCTGGCCCTATAGGGCTTAGTGGTTTTCATCTGGAAGCAGAGCAGTTGTAAAGGAACTGTAGCTTGTTACCAAGTTGCTGGTTGATACTGGAACTTGCGTAAGTAGGAATTCTTTTGAAGTCTCCAGTTGTATATTTTGTTGATGGCCGATTTTGTTTTTTCCTTTGGTGAAGAAAACTGATATCTGTAACGCAGTGATATAGACTTATTTGAGACTGTGATGTGTGGGTGGGAAGGGATTAAGAA